TTCTGCCTCTCCCTTCCCTGATGCCCAGGTGGCTGTGAAGAGGCAACAAATGGCTCCCAGGCACGTGAGGGAAGAGCAGCTAAGGAGGAGGCCTGGGCTGGGCCTTTCCAAAGTGCCCTCCTCTGGGGAATTCTGCCCTTAGGAACTCCATGGGAGAAGTAGGCCCTGTGAAGGCCAACTGCCAGTGGGTGCCAGTAACCTGTGAAAGAATCAGCTGCTACAAGAACATCCTTTACCCTCGTGAGAGGGGAGTGACTTCATACAAATTCCAGTGCTTCTCTAGTGACTTGATGAAGTGGCTGTGGCTTAATACCCAGATGTGTGACACACTGTCTCGAGGATTACACATAAAAATTAATTTCTGTGCCTCTCTTTAGGGGCAGGGACTTCATGGGTGGACAAAAGCCTTTGCCTATAGAATTTCTCTGGTTACCCCTGACTTACACTTCCAGAAAGGTTTCTGTCTGAGAAAGGACTCCTGAGCTTTTCCATGCTTAATAGCGCACTGCCTCTCAGTTATAAATTCAGTGTGGAAAGTCTGAGCTTCAGAAACAATCGCTTCAGAGTCACCTCTGATCAGTAGGCCATCAATACAAGGAGTACTTTCAATATCTGAATTAGGTTTAAGACACCTGTTTAAATCCCACCCTAACAGATGATGACAAATGTTAGAGAACTGACATATCTTGGAGGCAAGACTGTAAGGGTAAATCACTGGCTGCCAAGTGAGAGCAAACTGCTGTTGATGTCAAAAATGTATTGGGGTGGAAAACAATGCCCTGGTAAGATCAATAAAAGGATACCGGTCGGGGTGACTTTAGAAAGATCTTCCTATAGAGGAACAATGTCAGACACATTAACACAAGTTCATGTAGTTTTCTGTGATCCTCACTTAACATCTGAACTCCACCTGCTTTTCTGATAACCCAACTGAGAGATAAAGGGGAAAAGGCTGGAGGTGGGGACAGACTGCCAGTTACTCCAGTCTCTTAGCTGTGGTTTCACTGGTGGTCCTGGACCTGGTACTATTTCCTGTTTACAGTTTTGGTGGGACAAGAGAGCTGTACATGTTTCCATTTTTAGCAGCCAATATACTACCCTTTTGAGTAAGTCCTTTCTCTAAGGGACAATTACTTAACTTCAATAATACTATCATGGTTCGTAGTATTATATCAATGTTTATTTCCTGATTTTGATATGTGTACTGTGGTTTTGTACGGTGTTAATATTAGGGAAGCTGGATGAAGGGTAAAGAGAACCCTGTACTATTTTTGCAACATTTTTGTAAGTCTAAAATTATTTCAAAGTAAAAAGTTTTTTAAAAAAGAACAACTCAGGGAGTGATGAAACCACCCTGGAGGACACCTTTGGTCCTCTGTCTCCAACTTGTAGGCTTAGTAAAACAAAAAACGATCTGTCCACCTCAGATCCTTCC